TGTCTTTAGGACGCATCCCTGTTTATTAATTCCTTGTCTTTAGGACGCATCCCTGTTTATTAATTCCTTTTTGCTTGTTAAGTTCTCCCCAAGGGCACATTTATTTGAATTTTCAGTTTTACTTTGTAATGGGTTTTCTTTGAACCCAGCATCATTTCCTCAGACTCACCTGGCAAAGCTGGTGTCCTGGACTCTGCCTGTGTGTTTCCTCACACCCCCATTCGTGTTTCCGGGGAGGGAGGGCAGCTTTATTTTAGTGACACACTTGACTCCGACAGTTCCAGACTCTGTCTAGGTGTATTGCTTGGTCCTCCTGGAATTCTCTTGTCATGAAGCCTTCTCCCTCCACCCCCACCAAGGGAATGTCACTCCAGTAGGGCTCTGTGCAGGGAAGGGGGCCACAGAGCAGAGAGGCTCGGGGCACTTGTGGGCCCTGATAGTGTCGGCCAAGCACGTTCACTCAGCCAGGATTTGCAAAGCATAATCACTTCCAACAAGCACGTGAAGGAGGATTACCTGGAATTGTGCTGCAAGTAGACAGTGACCATTGCCACGTGTCACAGGTCTGGTCTGCAGAGCTGGCCGCAGCGAGAACATTTATTTATAAATGGGCTTTGTGCCCCTAAAGCAATGGATTATGTACAGACAGGGACAACTTGTGGACCATGCTCTTGTGAAAGCCTGGAGACAACACGGTAAGTAAGTGCTTACTAGAGACCATCTCCACTGACAGGTGGGAGTCCTCAGAGGTCTCACCTGAACAGGATCTTTCATTCAGGCTGAAAATGGAAATGGAGGCTGTGCCTTTGTCCAACACAAGAACCCATGCACTGAAGGAAGGCCGGCTTAGAAATGTGCTGGTCTGTCCCTCAGCCTCTCCTTTCCCCCTGGAGGGAGCAAGAGAGCCTAGGGAACAGGTGGCAGACAGCAGAGGCAGGCTACCAGGGTCACAGGGTGGCGCCCTCCCACAGCCCAGCCAGAGCATCAACCCCTCTAAGCTGGTTCCAGCTATACGTTGGGAGTAGCAGGAATACCTCTTTCCTTCAGCTTCTATGAAGATGTGAATAAGAAAATGTACAGATGAATGTTTTAAAGCAATAACTGAGAAAATGACATGAAGGCTGTGTTGACCAGTTGATGGAAGTATTTCAGATTGCATGTGAAAACCCCACACTGTACCCCAGAAGTGCATTAATGTACATAGTTACCGTTCAATAAAAAAAAGAAAAAAAAAAAAAAAAAAAAGAAAATGTACAGAAAATGCCTGGCATGGGGTAAGGGCGTAGAGAAAGTCCGTGGTTGTGATTATTACACAGGGAGCTGTTAGTTTAGAGGGTTCTGGGATTTCCATCGCTGCTTCTGTTGGTTTCACAGCAGGCCCTTCTCCTCACGTTAATCAAATTAATGATTTATTAATTTTAATTTTTACCCTGAGAGTGAAATATTGAGGGTCAATGAAGAAAAACACTGAAAAATTCAGCAAAAAAGGAAATCCATAGTCCTAACAGATAAACACTCTGTTAATATTCTGCAGTAGCTCCTATTTTTATTCGTGTATTTAATACATCTCGTTAGCGGCAGCCATTCTGTGTACGTAATTCTGTCTCACCCTTTAACTTCAGATTGTATTGTAAGCACTCTTGTCAGAGGTGGAGGAAAGTCCATCGGTTGGGCATGTCATAGTTTATTTAACTGTCACTCTGTGGTGGGAAGTGTATGTCATTTCCAATATAAACAATGTTGCTATACAATTAGTAATGCTTTGGGACAATCAGACCTTAGATTAATTTGAAGCACTCACACGAGAAGGCAAAGAGTCTTCTGTCTTATTAATGAGAACTGAGCCAGGTATAATAGTCTGGGTTTCACTGAGCATAAAAATGGAAATTTTTAAATCTTTTCTCATAAAAAATGTTACAATTGGATTCATTATGTGTGTACGGGCAGTACATGTGTTCAAAGAAAACTATTTCTAAATGCAGGCAGAATAACAAAGGCCATTTCAGCGAGTTCCCTGAATAGTCATCCGAGAACACCTTTCATCCCCGGTCCAGTGACTAAAAGGAACTGTGGCTACCAGAAACCATCCACTCCTATTAGTGTCATGTGTACTGCTGAATTCCTGGCCTTCAAATTGGCCTCTATCCTCACAGAATTTGCCTGCTCTGAGCTATAGGGGTGGTCCCTTATTATCTGGTCTGGCCCTGGCATGATGAAGGCTGGGGGATTTTGCTCCTGAGAGCACCAGCCAGACAGCAGAGGACTGAGCCGGGATTGAGTGAGTAATGTGCACATCAAAGCGTGCCCCAGGGCGGGCCTTTCTGGGCTCAGAGAATTGCCTGCCCGGGAGAAGGCAGTTTCTCCTCAGCCAGAAAAGTTGTTAAGATGGCAAAGCATCCTAATGTACAGAAAATTTTATACACACACACATTATATAAATAATACACCCTAAGAGAAAACTAATAAATGACATGTGGGTGGAAAGTCGGGGCTCAGAGCCCCTGTGTCTCAGGATTTGCTCACTATTCTTCTGGTTATACCTTGCTGTTGGAAAGGGGCTGGGCCAGCTCTTAACGTGCAGGTGAGCACTCTTGTCCTTCGATGATTTTCCATCCTAGAGAACATAGAGACCCCTAATTCAAAAAAGCTCAGGATCACCAGCCTAAACGAAGAGCGCTCCCAAGATGCGCAGAAGCAGCGCAGCAGTCTGGACGTCCACAGGCTCATCACCAGTCCTACCAGTAAGGCTGTGTGGGGCGGCATGGTCCTCACGGGGATCAGACTCATCCCGTGTTGGGACGTGAGCTGGAAGGAGGGGCCAGCGGCACCGCATCAGGTCACAGTCCTTGCTGCCTGGGCTGAGTGTGGTTTCTTGGTAACAGAGAAGGTGTCTGGGGCCTAGTACTGAGTGACTTCTGTGGCCCCCCTCTCCTGGACCAAATCGCCCCTGCTTCTCCATAAGCACACAAGGAGGTCAGTGTTCTGAGGGCAGCAGTTCCTATCCCAGTGGCAGCTGGTCAGGATTTACAGCTGACTCCCCTCTGCTCCCAGGGTGTGATGTTTGTGCAAACACGTCAGCTAAATGCCACTCAGAGAGTTTCCTCAAACAGGTGGCCATGCCAGTGACAGAGACCGAGGACAGGGAGACTCCTCAGTCCACTCTGTCCCCTCACACAGACGTGGCAGTGAATTGATAACCTGGTGTCAGGCATCCTAATGACACCGAGGAAAAGCTTGGCAGACAGCCAGCTTTCCATTCTATGGTCCAGTGAAAAAGAGAAGGCACTAACATTGAGAATAACGGAAAACAACACATTTAGTTCAAGTGATGCTTCTAGACTTTCCCCTAAAAGGTAGTTTTACCAGGGCTGTTAAAACAAGCAGTGAACTGCTCTCCATCACATTGGCTGTGCTGTCACTTTGCGATGATGGAAAGGCGGGCATGAGGAGGTAAAGGGCGTCCCCTAGTCTGTCATCATCAGTCCCCTAACGCAACGATATTGTCATACTGGCATTAGGCTCTGGTGACCAGGTGCCCTGCCCACGAGGGGCCCTGCCCTAGGTCTTATGCCTTAAGGGGCCATGGTCATCCCCACAGAGTAAGGAAATCACAGGACCTAAGGGATATTCTGTCTGGAACTTTCTTTGACTTCGGACCATGCTCTGGGCTCCTAGGAGTCTAGAGTTCACGGCCCAAATGGCCCTGAGGCTACTTCTAGATCTCATTCAGCTTCTTCCTGGGCTCTGTCCTCCTGGCAGGAAGTGTGTATGGCTGAGGCCTGAAGAGAGTGGCTAGGGCAGTGTGAGCTGGAGCTTAGAGGTGTGAGCTCAGGTATCTACTCAAAAGGGCATAGAGCTAGAGGTAGGAAGGGAAGGGGGCAGGCCAGAGGCTAAGGACCTTGACCTTCACCTGTACTCTTGGCCTGAGCCCTGCGTATGTGGGAGCAAAACTGGCAGTGAGTCACTCACAGTTTGAGAGTGGGTCTATCAATCAGGACTTGTGTCTGGATAAAACAAAATTTTAGCAGTGGGCAGGCCAGGGTGGGCATGGCAGCACCACATGGTCAGCAGAGGACTGGGATTCTTTTGTCCTTCCACTTTACTGGGAAGAGACATGGGCTTTTGTTCTCAGGGTCATTTCATGGTGCAAGTTGACCAGCAGAGCTCCAACCAGAAGGAATTTGGGAGAGGTTAAGGGCTGGCTGCTGAGCTGAGTCAGCACCGTTAAGGAGTCTTTCCTGAAGACACACACAGCTCATTCACCTACCTCTCACTCACCATATCTGCACTCAAGGGACACAGGGAAGAATACTCTCCTGGCTAATACAGTGCACCCTTGCATGAAACCTTGGTTTTGTTTGTAAGGAAGGAGAGGTGACTAGTTGTGGGGTAAGCAATAGCCGTGTCTGCTGCCGTTACTCAATTGTCCTGCCTTAAATAAGGCCGTTGGCCATCCCATGGTACTCAGCCTTATAACATTGTGTGTGTGTGTGCGCGCGCACGTGTGTGTGTGTGTGTGGCTTCTCCATCTCCATTTAATGAGCAGAAACTGGAATCAATCTCAAATCATCTTTCTGAGACTGTTTCTCTCCCGGTGCTTTGCTTATCTCAATGATTCTCATTGTAGGGTGGAAATTCCTTTAGAGGTAATGTGCACACACTGTCATGTGCATTTTTTAAGTAACCAGGGAGTATGCTAGTCCAGACACACAATAAGGTCCTTGCCTCATTCCCATGGTGATGGGACAGTGAATGGAATGAT